TGGGCCAGCACCTAGAAGGAGAGATGGGCCGGGGCGAGAAGGAGAGATGGGCCGGGGCGAGAAGGAGAGATGGGCCGGGGCGAGAAGGAGAGATGGGCCGGGGCGAGAAGGAGAGATGAGCAAGCAGCAAATGTTGAGATGAGCGAGTGTGTAAAGGATAGAGGGGTGAATGTGAGTAGCAGAAGATGAGAGTGATGAGTCTTGAGAAGTCAAGAGGGGGGGTGCGAGTGGCAAAGGAAGAGAGGGGCGAGTGGTGGAAATCGCAATGGGCGTGTGTGTGAAAGAAAATGGAGCAAGCATGAGAAGGACAGAGGGGCCCATGGTAAAAATTGGCAGGGGCAAATATGAGAAAAAGAGATGGAAAGTGTGTGAGAAAGAAAAGACTGTTGAGCAGTGAAAGCTGAAGAGCTGAGTCGCAGGAGAGGAATGAGCCATAGAAGACGAGAGAGGGGCGAGGGTGAAACGAGGGTGAGAACGAGAGAGGGGCGAGGGTGAGAACGAGAGAGGGGCGAGGGTGAGAACGAGAGAGGGGCGAGGGTGAGAACGAGAGAGGGGGGCGAGGGTGAGAACGAGAGAGGGGCGAGGGTGAGAACGAGAGAGGGGCGAGGGTGAGAACGAGAGAGGGGCGAGGGTGAGAACGAGAGAGAGGGGCGAGGGTGAGAACGAGAGAGGGGCGAGGGTGAGAACGAGAGAGGGGCGAGGGTGATGGCAGATGAAGACGGGGCGAGTGAGAGAAGAAAAGAGGGGCGAGCATAAGCAAGTGAATTCACTAAATCTGAAAATATGGAAATGAGGAGTGACGTTAGCACAAGGAGAGAAATACACCAATAAAAGAACAAGCAAAAGCAGACTGTGAGAAATCAGGCGCGGGGACACTCGAAGAGAAACTCATGTTCTGATCGGCACCTTACAATGCTCTCCTATGATGGGTCCGGTTGTTCTCTCACCTTTTTAAGCCTAGGGTTAATCTGTGCAGTCCAGCAGATTTCCATTGTAGCTGATAGCAGACGCCGTGTAGTTGGGCATGTCTAGGGATTAGAGACATTGTACAAGTTAATCCAATTCCTCGCACAACTGGAATGGTGAATGGATTTCAAAAATCTAGCATTCGATTGGTCAAACAACCAGTTCTGCTTACTAGAAGAGTTTCTCAGGGGCCTCTAAGCATCCCATCCGTGATAGTGACGTCACAGCAATCAACAGATTTATTGATGGACAGCACACACACTGCACCGTAGATCCAAACCCCCCCCCACCGCAATCCTTCACCCCCCCCCCCCACCCCCACCCCACCCGTACGACTCCTCCACCCCCCCCCCCCCCAACAACCCCCCCCCCCCCCCCCCCAACTTGCATATTTCACCGGTCCGAGCTTGGTCATGGAGATTAAAATAATCCATTCTTCCTATTACACCAAGAAAGCCATACAAGCTAAAGCATGCTGTAAATTCTAGAGGGGTCAGCAACCAATAGACTGTGGCCAGGTGTCTAGTAGATCGCCGGGTCTGGACTTGCTGACCCGCCATCCCATGAGCATCAATACAGAGTGCCCATGCAGAGGGATACTTGTTAAATGTAAAGTTGGAGCTGTAATAGGGGAACCGCATAAGCCGATGCACCTCCTATGTAGTGCCGGCTCCTGTGCCATGCGGACAGTGATAGACCCAACTCTCACTCCACCTCTGATCCCGGCTAGCGGTCTCTCAGAGTGGTGCCAGCAGAGGAAAGAAGAGATCTTCAGGTCAGTGTGAAGCAATTACACCGGGTATAATATTATAATAGTACCAGGGCTTGCTTTCCACACTGATCTGCTGTGGTTTAACACAACGTGTGGGTGCAGTGCAGGCTACCTGCAGCTTTCCTGGGTTTGCTGCACTTAGCCATAGACCTTCCTCTATTATATTTCCTGCAGGTTTTGGTGCATCCTCAGAGGAGAATGATACCTCTCCCACAAGATTTTAACCAGTGCTCTGATGGACAGTGATAGAAGTCAAAAGAATGCTATGTACTGCTGATGAGAAAAAGGGATTTAGCAGTTTATATTTACTAAAATAATTGCTTTTCCATGTTGTTTGTACTGTGGGAGACCGGATAGTGAATGTGGGGTCCGGGGGAAGCGAAGCGGGGAGCGGATATAGTGAGGTGAGTGAATGCGGGGTAGCCGGGGGGAGAGCGGATATAGGGAATGCGGGGTCCGGGGAGAGAGGTGAGCGGATATAGGGGAATGCGGGGTACCGGGGAGAGCGGATCTAGGGAAATGCGGGGGTCCGCCGGGGAGAGGCGGATATAGTGAATGCGGGGTCCGGGGAGGGCGGATATAGTGAATGCGGGGTCCGGGGGAGGGCGGATTTACGGGCGGATTCGGATATAGTGAATGCGGGGTCGGGCGTGAGGAGCGGATATAGTGATGGAATGGCGGTTCGGGCGGTACTGGGGAGGGCGGATATAGTGAATGCTGGGGGGTGCACGGGGAGGGCGGATGGGATATAGTGAATGCGGGGTCCGGGGGAGGGCAGGATATTTAGTGGGAAAGTACGGGTGAGGCGGGGTTCGGGGTCCCGGTGGAGGGCGGTGGATATAGTGACATGCGGGGTCGGGGAGGGCGGATCGGATATGTGAATGCGGGGTCCGGGGAGGGCGGTTATTCTAGTGAATGGCGGATCCGGGGAGGGGGATGGGATATAGTGAATGCGGGGTCCGGGCACGTGGGGGCGGGATGGTTTATTTGTGAATGCGGGGTTCCCGGGGGATGGGCGGGGATATAGTGGAATGCGGGGTACCGGGGAGAGCGGATGGGATGATATAGTGAATGCGGGGTCCGGGTGGCAGAGGCGGATATAGTTGAGATGCAGGGAGTCCGGGTCCGAGGGCGGATATAGTGAATGCGGGGTGCGTGTCCGGGGAGCGCGGATATAGTGAAATGCGGGGTCCGGGAAGAGGGCGGATGGATATATAGTGAATGCGGGGGGTGCGGGGAGACCAGATATAGGGAATGCGGGGTCCGGGGAGACCAGATATAGGGGAAAGGAATGCGGGAGTAGTGCCGGGGAGACCCTGATATAGGGAATGGGGGTCCGGGGAGACCAGATATAGGGAAATGCGGGGTCGGGGAGACCAGATATAGGGATGCGGGGTCCGGGGGAGGGGAGGAGGAGACAGATATAGGGGAAAATGCGGGGGTCCGGGTGAGGGGGAGACCGGATATAGGGAGAATGCGGGCGTTTCCGACCGGAGAGGGCGGATGGATATAGTGGATTGCGGGTGTTCCGGGGGAGGGCGATTATAGTGAATGCGGGGTGCCGGGGGAGGGCGGATACGGATATAGTGAATGCGGGCGTACGGTCCGGGGAGGGATCGGATCGGATATAGTGAATGCGGTGTCCGGGGGGCGGGGAGGATTTAGTGGAAATTGCGGGGTCCGGGGAGGGAGGGATCGGATATAGTGAATGCGGGTGTCCGTGGGGATAAGGGGTGGCATAGTTGAATGCGGGGCCGGGGGGGCCGGGAATTAGGGGGTGCGGGGTCGGGGAGGGCGGGTTAAAATTTTAAAGTGGGGTTTCCCGGGGGGAGGGGCGGGATTATTAATTGAAAGCGGGGGTTTGGTTTTAGTGAAAAGGCCGGACAGGAAACCCCCGGGGTCGGGGGGAGGGGGTTGGGGATATAGTTGGAAAGCGGGGTTTTCCGGGGGGTGCGGGGGCGTTTTGAAAGCGGGGTCGGGGGGGCCCATTTTTAGGGGCCTTTGGGGGGGTTCAAAAAACCGGGAGCCCGGGGAAAAAAATAAAAAATTTTGGAAAAAATGCGGGGTTTTTGGGGAGAGGGAAATATTTTTTTCGGGGTGGGAAAACGGGTTTTGGTTTCCGGGGTTTCCCCGGGGGGGGTTATCTTTGGGAAGCGGGTCCCGGGGAGGGTTTTTGGAATTAAATTTTTGTGGAAATGGGGGACCGGGGGGGGGCGGGGGTTAAAAAGTGGAATGCGGGGTCGGGGGAGGCGTGATATAGTGAATGCGGGGTCGGTGGCGGGGAGAGGGGATATAGTGAATGCGGGGTCCGGGGGAGAAGCGGATATAGTGAATGCGGGGGTCCGGGGAGAGCGGGTTATATGTGAATGCGGGGTCCGGGGAGAGCGGGGGATTAGTGAAGTATGCGGGGTCCCGGGGAGGAGCGGTGATTATAGATGATATGCGGGGTCCGCTGGGGAGAGGCGGGGATATAGATGAATTGCGGGGGTCCGGGGAGGGCGAGGGCGGATATAGTGAAATGCGGGGTCCGGGGAGGGCGCGTGTTATAGTGAATGCGAGGTGTCACACGGGGAAGGGGGCGGGCGGATATTGTGAATGCGGGGGGTGTCCGGGGAGGACGGGAGAACCCTGATTATAGCTGAATGCGTGGGTCCCCGGGGCAGAACAGGGGGAGGGGGAATATAGTGAGATTGCGGGGTACCTGGGAGAGCGGGATATAGTGAATGCGGGTTCCTGGGTGAGGTCCGGAATTTATATGGTGAAGATGCGGGTGTCCGGGGAGGGCGGATTGGAGATATAGTGATATGCGGGGTTTGCCGGGGAAGGGTTGAGACCAGATTATAGTGGTTTAATGCGGTGGTGTCAGGGCGAGAGGCGGTATAGTGAATGCGGAAGGATTCGGGGGGAGTTCCGGGGGAGAGCAGACTTATAGCAGTGAAATACGGGTGTCCGGGGAGCGAGCGGATATAGGTGACCATGCGGGGTCCGGGGAGAGCGGGGATATAGTGATGATGCGTATGTCCGGGTGAGAGCGGATATAGTCGGAGATGCGGGGGTCCGGGAGATATAGGGATTAGTGAATGCGGGGTCCGGGGTGGAGGGCCGGATATAGTGAATGCGGGTCCGGGGGAGGAGCGGATATAGTGAATTGCGGAGTCCGGGGTGGGCGGGCTGGCATTTAGTGATTGCGGGGTTCACAGAGATAGGGCGCGGATATAGTGCGGATGCGGGGTCCCGGGTGAAGACCAGATATAGGGTAATATGCGGGCGTTCCGGGGAGAATCCCAGATATACGGGAGATGCGGGGTCCGGGGAGACCAGATATGGGTTTAGCGTGAATGTCAGGGGGTTGACCAGATATAGGGGAATGCGGGGTCCGGGCGAGACCAGATATCAGTTGGAATGCGGGGTACGGGGAGACCAGGATATAGGAACCCACGCAGGTCACGGGGAGACAGAGATATGGGCAATCTCCACGGGGTCCGAGGAGACCAGATATAGGTGATATGCGTTGGGTAGGTTCCGGGGAGACCCAACGATATAGGGAAGTAGCGGGGTCCGGGGGGAGGACAGATATAGGAAATGCGGTGTCTAACGGGGATTTACCAGATATAGGAAATGCTGGCCCGTACATCGGGCGAGTCCAGATTTTAGGGAATTGCGGGGTTCCGGGGAGACCAGATTAGGGACATGCGGGAGTCCGGGGTATCTGGACCCAGATGTTAGTAGAGGAATCTTTTTTAGTCCGGGAGAGAGAGACGGGGATAATGTGAGGCATTGCAGGGAACCCCATCGCAGGCACAAGGTTTTAATCCTCTCAATGCAATGAATACCAGGGAGGGTTTTTTAGGAGACACTGGTTGGGATTTGACCCAACGAACCCGAAGTTACTGCCTGGCGGAAGTGCTAACGTAATGCTTAACCACTGTGTGCCGTACATCTTGCCCTCTACCATTTGTCACAGGGAAGCTGAAGTCTAAATTGGACAGTAGAGTACATCATCTTTTAAGCTTCAAGTTGCTGACAGGCACAGGAACCCCTCTGGAGTTGTAATCCCTCTCAATGGAATGAATAACCTTTGGGTTTAGAGACATTTAATGGCTTTGTATCTACCATAAGGTTATCCATAATGCATTGCTCGTGTACCAGTTTAGCAAGGCCATCTATTTCACAGGAAGCAGAAGAAGCCTAAATAGATAACAGAATCATCTAGTAGAGGCGGTGCTGAGATGGCAGGGTGCGAGTGCCACGATCACCTAAGTGCCGAGCGTTTGTGATACAAAGCGTTACTTCATGATGATATACAGTTTGCATCATTATATTTGCTAGTGACAAAGGACCATATTCTTGTGAAAGTAGAGATTTGGAGAGAGGGTTCGTTGCCACGAAACACCTGACGGGAGCTTTGTACGAGCGTACAAGAGTCCTTGCTGCAATGACAAAGCTGCACTCACAGGCGTTAGAAGGTGTTTGACGATGTGTTCCGGGACCCTGCTCGTTTTTCCTGACACATTGTCCGCTGGCCACCCACCACTGCCTCCGCAGATCGAATGCGTACCTGGAACCTCCGGGAACCTCCGATTATTGTTCCTCACTTAAATCTTCCTAAAAGTCCACGGCCTCTTTGACAATAAAGGAGAGAGGATTATGCGGGGATCTGACGATGTGATTACAGAGCTGTGAAACCCAGAGACCGCAAGTGCCAATTACAATGACACAGCGGGTCAAAACCTACTCAAAGCAAAAGCGACGGTGATAAACAAGATAACGGGCTAGACGGGACTATTGAGTGTGTCAGCAACCGTCTCACAGTTGCTGGAGCCAATGTCAGAGAAGCAGCCTAGCCTAGTGGCTGTCATCCTTTACAAGGAGAGGAGCGAGGGTTATAAGGGAGGAGCTTCACAAGCCGCTTCACAAGTCTGGGGATTTTTAAAATCCCTGTGGGATCTACCTCCTCCTCTGCATTGCAGAGTACTATAGATTGGGCTAGGACGGCCTGCTGAATTGCGTCAGCACTGTGATAGTTGGCGACCATATCAAAATACTGTCTCGCCCGTACTGTCATCCGCTGCACTTGAGAGAAGCTGGAGAGAGATAGAGAAAAATAGCAGAAATTCTTAAAAGGTTCTCACTTAATCTCACAGCAGTAACAATCAGTCTGTAGATGCAGTAAAGCAATGCTTTGTAAATACTGTGGAACCTAAGGGGGTTAATCCTCTGCATTGTTTAAAAATGCTGTTTGATCTGGACTTCTCTGATCCTCCTCTTCTTCCAGTGTCCCCCTTATCTCCTGATAAGACATATGGTGTGGAGACACTCTGCACATGCTCAGTTTGGTGTGTATTGCTAGAGAGGGGTTTTTTTTTTTCTCTTGGGAGAGTGCATGTGATCAGCACAGGGCCAGTCAGCACTCTCCAAATAGAGTGTCAGGGCTTCCGCATCCTCCTAGAGCAGAAAGAAAACTCCTCCTGCAAGCTTTTAACCTGTGCTATGCTGGACACAGATAGAAGTCACAAGACTGCTGTATACTGCATATATAGATGAGAAAATGTATTTAGCAGTTTATATTTACTAAAATGAAATTTGCATTTCCATGTTGTGTGTACTGTGGGAGATCAGATATAGTGAATAATGCAGGGTCGGGGAGGGAGAGCGGATATAGTGAATGCGGGGTCCTGGGGGAGGGGAGAGCGGATACTATAGTGAACGCAGGGTCCGGGAGACCGGATATAGTGAACGCAGGGGTCCGGGGAGATCGGATATAGTGAACGCAGGGTCCGGGGAGATCGGATATAGTGAATGCAGGGTCCGGGGAGACCGGATATAGTGAATGCGTTGGGGTCCGGGGAAAGCGTGGATATAGTGAATGCAGGGTCCGGGGAAAGCGGACTATAGTGAATGCAGGGTCCGGGGGAGAAAGCGGATATAGTGAATGCAAAGTCCGGGGAGGGGTATGAGCGGATATAGTGAATGCAAAGTCCGGGGAGAGCGGATATAGTGAATGCAGGGTCCGGGGAGAGCGGATATAGTGAATGCAGGGTCCGGGGAGAGCGGAATATAGTGAATGCAGGGTCCGCAGGGAGAGCGGATATAGTGAATGCAGGGTCCGGGAGAGCGGATATAGTGAATGCAGGGTCCCGGGGGGAGAGCGGATATAGTGAATGCAGGGTCCAGGAGAGCGGATAAAGTGAATGCAGGGTCTGGGTAGACCGGATATAGTGAGTGCGGGGTCCAAGGAGAGAAGATATAGTGAATGCGGGGTCCAGGGGAGAGAAGATATAGTGAATGTGGGGTCCGGGGAGAGAAGAAATAGTGAATGCGGGGTCCTGTTAGGGGAAGAAGAATATTGGGGAGAATGCACATCGTGATGCGGGGTCCGGGGAGAGAAGAATATAGTGAATGCGGGGTCCGGGAGAGAAGATATAGTGAATGCGGGGTCCGGGGAGAGAAGATATAGTGAATGCGGGGTCCGGGAGACCAGATATAGTGAAATGCAGGGTCTGGGGAGACCAATATAGTGAAATGCAGGGTCTCTGGGTTTAGTAACACTATTATTATTGTTCCTGTGTCCACTGTGCGGAACATTGTCAAGAAGTATAACAGCCCATGGCACTGTAGCTAATCTCCCTGGAAGTGGATGAAAGAAAAAATGTATCAAAGACTGCAATGAAGCACATTGTTTCGAATGAGGGAAATAAAGGACCTTGATCAATAATTTATTGTCCAGTCCATTTTTTTTTCTTGTGTGTGGAATGTGTCAGATTTGGCTTTTTGTTCCTCCCATTTTTTTGTGTCCTACCAATATAAACTAAAGAAATAAACATGAGAATGCCTAAACACTTGCAATTGCAACAATTTCTCTGGCGATGTGGTGCATTATCTGACAGAAATCCGGGGGGGGGGGGGGGGGGGGGGTGTAATATTTTTTGGCCATTACTGTATGTACATAAAATGTTCTCACCTCCGGACTGTTCTGCAGCTGGACCCTTTCTCCAAGACGCTGGTGTAAAACTCTGGAGTGAGCAGTAAGCCTATTGACAGCGTGCCGATGTCCCGTGTGCTCTGCAAGGTTCCTCTGTGATCATTCCACTGTGAGGACAACAAACAGCAATGAGCCATTACATATCCGCAAATTATCTGCTGCCCTAACCTATAATCAAAGAACAGGACACACATACACTATATTCGCCAAAACTATTGGCCCTGCCCTCCAAATCATGTGATTCATGTGCTCCAATCCCCTCCATGGACACAGGTGTATACAATCAAGCCCCTAGGTATGCAGACTGCTTCTACAGGACATTTGGTGAAAGAATGGGTCGCTCTCAGGGAGCTCAGTGACTCCAAGCGTCGGGTCCCGTGATAGGTGGGCCACCTGGGCAATAAGTCCATCCGTGACATTTCCTGGCTACTAAATATTCCACGCTCAACTGTTAGTGGGATTATAACAAAGTGGAAGCAAACTGGGAACAACAGCACACTCAGCCACCAAGTGGTAGGCCACGTCACATGACAGGGCGGGTCAGCGCATGCTGAAGCGCACAGTGCGCAGAAGTCACCAACTGTCTGCAGAGTCAATAGCTAAAGGACCTCCAAACTTGGTGTGGCCTTCAGATGAGCCCCAACAACATGTTGCGTAGAAGAGCTTCATGGAATGGGTTTCCATGGTCCGAGGCAGCCGAATCAAAGCCTTAACATCACCAAGTGCAATGCAAATGCATTGGATGCCGGTGGTGTAAAGCACGCCGCCACTTGGACTCTAAGCAGTGGAGACTTGAATTCTATGGAGTGACCAAGCATGCTTCTGTCTGGCAATCCGATGAACGTGTCTGGGTTTTTGGCAATTGCCAGGAGAACAGTACTTGCCTGACTGCATTGTGCCAAGTGTAAAGTTTTGGTGGAGGGGGATTATGGTGTGGAGTTGTTTTTCAGGGGTTGGGCTTTGGCCCCTTAGTTTCCAGTGAAGGGAACTCTTAAGGCGTCAGCATACCAAGACACATTTTGGACAATTTCATGCTCCCAAAAACTTGTGGGAAGAGTTTGGGGATGGCCCCTTCCTGTTTCCAACATGACTGCACACCAGTGCACAAAGCAAGGTCCATAAAACATAGGAGGAGCCAGTTTGGGGTGGAGGAACTTGACTGACCTGCACAGAGTCCTGACCTCAACCCCATAGAAACACCATTTTGTGGATGAATTAGAGCGGAGACAGTGAGCCAGGCCTCCTCCCCCGACATCAGTGCCTGACCTGACAAATGTGCTTCTGGAAGAATGGTCCAACCTTCCCATAGACACCCTCCTAAACCTTGTGGACGGCCTTCCCCAGAAGGCCACTGAAAAGCTTGGCAGGTGTTACCTCCGGTCTCTGCGGCACAATGGGGTGAGGGACAGCAGAAGCAGCCCTGGTCCAGACCCTCTTCAACACAGGCAGTATGAAGGGCAGGGAGGTTGATAATGTAGGTCTCCCCCGCGATCTATCAGCTCGTTTTGAAGATTCATCTTCTTACACGTGTCCTGTAACTTCGCCAAATGTGTGTGTGATACTGCAAGGGAAAGAGAGATGAATGGAGTGCAGCTCACAAAGGCTGCAGGTCGATGATGACCCCCCCCCCCCCCCCCCCCCACACACACCTCAGTTGAAAATATTGATTATTACTAATACTCCTACAGAAGGCAAGATAGAGCAACAAGCAACTTCGATGGAATATGTATATATGTATATATATATATATATAAAAAGGCAACAATTTTGAGAAAAAAAACAATATTGTTGACTTTTTACTGTTAAACATGTCCAGTAAAAAAAAATACAATTTCGCCATAAATGTAGGCCAAAATGTGTTCTACTACATATCTTTGCTAGAAAAAAAAAATCCCAGTACCTGTAAATTAATTGGTTTACCTGAAAGTTTTTTTTACTAGTAATGGCGGCGATCAGCGACTTATAGCGGGACTGCGGCGGGCATTCTGACACTGAGGGGAACTGACTTGGTGTCACTGACATCCCCAGTGACACCAATACAGTGATCAGTGCTATTAAAAAGCACTGACACTGTACTAATGGCACTGGGCAGGAAGAGGTTAACATCTGGGGCAATCAAAGGGTTAAAAGTGTGCTGTTTAACTGTGTGCTGTGTATTAGTGCTTCGCTGTAAGCACACTGCTTTGCATAGCAAGAGTGTGCAGGAGCTGACAGGGGAGAGAACTGTATTGTTTACTTACAGTTCTCTCCCTCCGCTGGTAATGCTCCTCGATCACCGGATGTCGGCGAGTAATCACTGACAGGGACCGGGTGACTGACAGCCGAGGTCGCGAATAGCAGCGCAGGTAGGGCACCGAAATATATATACGTGATTTTGCGCACACCGTGCCACCCTGTAGCAGTATTACTGCTATAGGGCAGACGGGAAGCGGTAAACATGTTACATTATTAACCACTTCCCGTCCGGCCGTTGTATATAAACGGCAGGACGGTGGCAGTGCAGGGGCAGGTGGCCATTTATAAACGGCCTCCCCACCCCCTGCTTGTGCGCGCAGCACAGTGATCCTGGGAGCGCGCAACACAGTGATCCGGTGCCTGCTGTGTCCCCTGGACATAGTGGAACACCAATCGTCGGACAGGACCTCTGTGCGAGGTCCCGATCATGTGATCACTGATTGGCCAATCAGGGATCACAAGCAGAGTAGTAAGCAAGATGTCACTTCTGACATCATTGCTTACTACGTGTGAAACGTGTGAATGATCACAGAGGTCACATGGTACAGGGCTATTCACAACAGCCTTGTACCGTGTGACAAGCTGTGACCAATCACAGCTCACCCAGTATTTCTCAATGGCTGCAAGAATGCAGCTAGAGAGAAGGAGAAATGATTGCTTTTACAGCCTGTATGGGTGCAAAAGCAATTAGTGGAAAAAAAAAATCTTCATCACCCTCTAAAAAACAAATAATAATACAAAAAAAAAAAAAAATGTAAAAAAAAAATATTTTTTAATAAAAAAGATAACTAAATAAATTTTGGCCAAGATTTATGATGAAATACTACTTGCAAACTTTTATAAGAAAAACACTTTTTTTCAAAATTTTTGGACTTATTCATTTACATAGCAAAAAAAAAAAAAAAAAATCCCAGCGGTGAATAAATACCACCAAAATAAAGCTTCATCTGTCTCAAAAAATGCTAAAAAATGCATATGGGTACAGTGTTGCATGACCGCGCAATTGTCATTCAAAGTGTGATAGCGCTGAAAGCTGAAAGTGTCCGGACTGGAAGGGGGGTGAAAGTGTCCGGACTGGAAGCGGGGGTGAAAGTGTCCGGACTGGAAGGGGGGGGGAAAGTGTCCGGACTGGAAGGGGGGGGGAAAGTGTCCGGACTGGAAGGGGGGGGAAAGTGTCCGGACTGGAAGGGGGGGGAAAGTGTCCGGACTGGAAGGGGGGGGAAAGTGTCCGGACTGGAAGGGGGGGGAAAGTGTCCGGACTGGAAAGGGGGGGGAAAGTGTCCGGACTGGAAGGGGGGGGGAAAGTGTCCGGACTGGAAGGGGGGGGAAAGTGTCCGGACTGGAAGGGGGGGGGAAAGTGTCCGGACTGGAAGGGGGGGGAAAGTGTCCGGACTGGAAGGGGGGGGGGGAAAGTGTCCGGACTGGAAGGGGGGGGAAAGTGTCCGGACTGGAAGGGGGGGGGGGGGGAAAGTGTCCGGACTGGAAGGGGGGGGAAAGTGTCCGGACTGGAAGGGGGGGGAAAGTGTCCGGACTGGAAGGGGGGGGAAAGTGTCCGGACTGGAAGGGGGGGGGGGAAAGTGTCCGGACTGGAAGGGGGGGGGAAAGTGTCCGGACTGGAAGGGGGGGGGAAAGTGTCCGGACTGGAAGGGGGGGGGGGAAAGTGTCCGGACTGGAAGGGGGGGGGGAAAGTGTCCGGACTGGAAGGGGGGGGGAAAGTGTCCGGACTGGAAGGGGGGGGGGAAAGTGTCCGGACTGGAAGGGGGGGGGGAAAGTGTCCGGACTGGAAGGGGGGGGGGGGGAAAGTGTCCGGACTGGAAGGGGGGGGGAAAGTGTCCGGACTGGAAGGGGGGGGGAAAGTGTCCGGACTGGAAGGGGGGGGGGGGGAAAGTGTCCGGACTGGAAGGGGGGGGGAAAG